CCTGTCATGGTTGGGAGCTTCCATGAACTCCCTAATTCACACAACGATTTTGATGCACTTCCCTTTTTGTGGATCTCGGAAAATCCACCACTTTTACTGTGAGTTTCCAGCTGTTGTCAAGTTAGTGTGTGTGGATATCACTGTTTATGAAAACACAGTGTACATCAGCAGCATCACAGTTCTCCTCATCCCCATCCTCCTGGTTTCTACATCCTATGCCTTCATCCTGCGCAGTGTTGTTCAGATGCGCTCAGCTGGGAGCAAGAGAAATGCCTTTGCCACTTGTAGCTCTCACCTCACTGTGGTTTCCCTTTGGTTTGGTGGCTGTATCTTCACATACATGAGACCCCGGAGTCAGCGTACTCCATTGCAAGACAAAGTTGGCTCTGTGTTCTACAGCATCATCACTCCCACACTGAATCCTTTAATTTATACTCTCCGGAATAAGGATGTAGCTAAAGCACTGAGAAAAGTACTGGGGAGAAGTATTGTCACCCAGTGACTATAATGGAATATAGTGTACAATGAGATAATACTCTTAAATTGATAAACAAAAAACAAACAAACAAACAAACCCTCTAAGATTCTAAGCCACTGGAAAGATCCTTCCAGGGTCCAGATTCAAGATGTCTTTTGATTCCTGCAAAAGTGAAGTAAGTTTTGGTGGTAGTGTGGCTAATACAGTGAGCTGCTAATTAAAACGTAACCAGCCTGGACCCAGCAACCACTCTGTGGGAGAAAAAAATGAAACAGTCTGTTTTCTAATGATTTGTAGCATTTAAATGCTAAGGGATTGTCCTACAAGATTCTGTTCTACAAGATTGCTGTGAGTCATGATGGATTCAGTGACAGTGGGAAATGGTATGAGTATGGCAAAAACATAATGCAAACTGTGCACTTAGAATTAAATTATTGACACAAAATTCCGCTATTCCAAGGCTGAAAATCATTATGAACTGGACATTGCATGGTTTAATATCAGGAAAGCTGTATTTCAGGATTGTATCCATTTCTCATAACTATCTGATCTATATGCTGAGAAAATCATTCAAGAAGCTGGACGGTATGAAGAAGAATGTGGCATCAGAATTGGAAGAAGACTCATGAACAACATGTGTTACACAGATGACACAATTTGCTTGTAGAAAGTGAAGAAGACTTGAAGCACCTGTTACTGAAGATCAGAGTGCAGCCTTCAATATAGATTACATCTGAACCAAGAAAACGAAAACTCTTTATCACTAGTTCAATAGGCAACATCATGATAGACGGAAAAAAACCTGAAGTTGTCAACAATTTCATTTTACTTGGATATAAAACCAAGACCTGAGGTAGCAGCAGTCAAGAAATCAAAAGACAGGTTGCTTTGAGGAAATCTGCTCACCAAAGATTTAAAGTGCAAGAATGTCAGTTTAAAGACCAAAATATGACTGATCCAAACCATAGTATTTTTAATTGCTTCCTATGCATCTGAAAATTAGACAATGACAATAGATGACAGAAGAATCAATGCATTTAAATTGTGATATTGGGGAATAGTACTGAAAATCCCATGGACTGCCAAATGAACAAACAAATCTATCTTAGAGAAGGTACAACCTGGATGCGCCCTAAAGGCAAGGATGGTTTAATTTCATCTTCTATTTTGTATTTTGGACATGGTTTCAGGAAAGACCTGTCCCAGAAAAGACATCATCATGCTGGGAAAGGTGCAGGGCCAGAGAAACAGAGGAAGACTCTCAACAAGAGAGTGATGGTACCAATAAGATCAAGCTCATGGGAGCTGGTGAGGATGACTCAGGATAGGACAAGATTCAGATCTGTTCTACAAAGAGTTCATATGAGTCGTAGTCAACTTGCTGGCAACTAACACCACCACCACTTTGGCATGGGCATCTAAGCATCATAGAGTGTGTTTCAGCAAACACTTAGACAGTTACATAAAACTTTTAAATGCTTTAAAAATACAACTTTACTTTGGAGTTCTGAATAAAGGATCAAGATACAGCGATGCTTTATCATTATTATTTACACCAGCAAAGCATTGCACCAGAGAATATTTAAGAAGTTTAAAAGTGCTGCTCAGTAGAGAAAGCATAGGACATAAAGGATATGTTCAGGCTTTTTTAAAAGGAAATGAAAATTATATTCATAGAACCTTCGAGTTTAAGTCACAGCATGTAAAATTCGAGAGGGAAGAAAATAATACGTAGTGATGCTTATGTGATTCTTGATACATTTAACAAATATTTGAGAGTACATTTGGCCCAGGCACTAAACTAGGTGTTTGGGGTGAATCAGAAAATAAAAGACCATGACTTTCATCTTTATGGAAACGTTCTTTCAACATATACTTATTTGCATAACTCTTTGGCCTACAAGGTACCTAGAGGTCTAGATATACTAACACTTGCTAATAGTCTGAAAGACAGTTAGTTACTTAACATCTACAGCCTTCAACAATCTCACATGTGTTAAGAAAATAGAGTTGTTTAATATTTGTTGATAAACTGGTTGTGAATGTTCACCCCAGATTACAGATATGTGCTCGGAAAATTAAAAGCAGAAAAGAATTTCTGATAAAATTAATGAAAATACTAAAGAACCTGATTTAGAAACTATTAGCCACATATTCCCCACTATCAAATTGTGCTGCTGAAACAGTCCAATGAAATAAGGGCAAGGGCTGCATGAGAATGGCCATATCTGACCTTTACCAATTTCATGAAGAGGAACTGTCCCCATCAACAATACAAACCCCAATCTCATAATGTCAAACATGTCCCCCATGCTCTTGTACCTCTTTCTACTCATCCCAGCACCAATCTTACTGCTTTACTGAGTCCAAAATCCGATGTAGGAGCTCACAGACTGCACGGAACCATAATAGGGCACTCAGAAGAGCTATAAATCAGGTTAATAGCAGAATACACTGTGAAGACAGCTTTCAAAATGTGCTCACAGATTCCTCAGCCTTGAGCCTTGCAAATTTAGGCCGGTATTACAAGGTTCTCAGTCCTGTCAATTATGGCTCAGAGTCCTCCAACAAACTTGGGCAAAAGACTTTTAGGACTGGTTCACTTAGGTAGCATTCCCGATTTTTGCTCAGTCTCGTGTCAGGTCTCTGGTTCTCCAATGTGCTGGTATAACTGTTGCTCCCGTAGGACCTAGTTTTGGTGGTGCAAGAATCACTGGTCCCTAGGAGGTGTTACACTCTCTTGCTTCTTCTTTGCTGGTGGTGAGTGCTTCCCCCCACCCCCACCCCCGCATTCTGCTGCTGGATCTGCTCAGTTTAATGGTGAGACTCTAATCCACATGTGGATAGACTAACACACCCTATTCACATATTCACATTGCTCCACATGGCAGAGTCAAAGTCAAATACCTAGGGAGGCCCTTTTGAAAAAGAAACCCTTAACGCCTCAAGAGGACAGAAGAAAAATGTATCCAACAAGTATAAGGTGGTTTGGGTTCGTAATTTTCAGGTAGGTTAGAATTCTGGTCACCTAACAGTAAGCAGCTGCACTGTGGTCTAAAAACGATGGTTCAGATCCACCAGCTGCACTGTGGGGAAAGGATGGATAGTCTCCTCTTGAGCAATCTTTTAAAAGTATGATGATATTTACTTTCTTCTTTGGTTAGCATGGCTGGGCTTTCGAGAAGGAGCTCTTTACTAAATACTTGTATTGTTCTGGTGCACCTTGGAGTCAGAGTTGAGCCTCCAGTGGGTTTTCAGAGGTAGTTCAAAACTCAGGAGGAAACTGCCCCTCCTTCTCCCACAGAGCAGCTGGTGGATTCGAACTAAATGCTTCTGACGTTGCAGTGCAGCCTTCACCACTAGACCACCAGAGCGCCCTACTGGTAAAAAAATTTAAAAAATAAAAATAAACTTTAATTAGTTGTTGTCAGACTGTCTGTAGAGGAACCAAATACCTTTCCTTGGGAAAGAGCCTTCCTAACTCACTTAGAGATAATTTGAGATTCAAAAAAGGAGAAAGGGAACAACAAACTAGTTAACTACTCTTTATTAAGACATTAAGGACAAAGAACTTGAGGATAAAGAGATTATTAGATAAAGAATATTCTTGAACAGAAACAATGAAGAGATTCAAGACAGGAAAAGCCTAATACCCACATTTAAATTATCTGCTAAGCCATGTTCTTAGGCAAATCTCCCTGATGTTACCCTGAAACAGTAGCAAAAGTCTGTCTTTTCTGAGTGACTTTGAGGGGTAAGGGCTTAAAAAGTAGGGACCCAACCTAACACAATAATACCTCTGTTTTACCAAAGTATGTTAAGTTATTTATCACTTACATATTTGTAGAGGACGCATATTGTTTTGTTTTTCTGCATTCTTTCTCACAACAATGGATGCAAGTATAGCAGTAGTTATGAGGGATGATGAATGATCAGGCAGAGTTGTTCCGTTGGGTTTTTTTGCATTGTAGTACGTAAAATAGAATGGACAATAGAACCAAATGCCACCCAGTCCTGTGCATGCTTATGTCTACTGTCCTTAAACCCCCTGTTGCAGTGACTGTGTCAGTCTCTCTCATTGAAGGTTTTCCCCTCAATGAGCACAAACTTGAAGCACAAACTCTTGAAGATTTTGCATATGATATTTGTAAGGTTGCAGGCCAGAGAGGAAGAAACAAAGCTTAAAGGCAGCTTTATTAAGGGAGTGAGGTTTCTTGGTCTGGAGAGAGAGACCAGGGAAGTCGCACCCAAGGTGTATTTGGGGAGGTTTTTATAACAGGGTCTTAAGGAAGGGGGAAGGATAAAGACGTTCCCGTGTAATTAGTTGTTGGTCACGCCAGGTGGGTGAATCTATTTCTTCTTCTTGCTGATGTGCTACAGTAGTTTTCTATGGTGACAGATCACACGCTTTAGTTATCTAATCACAAGACTGAAGAATGCAACACATCACCACAAGGCACAAAAGGATGAGATCAATTCATCATCCTCAATCCTGGGATTTCGGTTCAAAAGCATTGATCTTGTTTGTCAATGCCCACCTTCTGTTGGAGCACCTTTTTTTGGAATGGGCACAAATATAGATTCCTGCAAGTAGGATGGTGGGGTAACTGTCTTCTCAATTTCTTGGCATAGACTGGTGAGGTTTGCATCTGTTTGAAAAATACCTCGATTGGCATTCCACCAATTCTTGCAGCCTTAGTTTCTTGTCAGTGCCATCAATCATATGCTACCTTCTTAAGTGTTGACCAAATTATTTTTGGAACAGTGACTTTGTATATTTCTACCATCTTGTTTTGATATTAACTGCATCATACAATACCTTGTACATAGAATCCTTCAGTATTACATCTCAAGATTATTGAGGGATTTTTTGTTTCTTTTTTCAACCCGAAAAATGACCAGTTTAAAAAAAAATACAAATTTGTTTTTTAAAAAAAATGACCAGTGCATTCTTCCCTTTTGGTCTTCTAAGTCCAGGTCTTTGTATGATTTATTTTAATATTTTCCTTTACTACTTGAATTGT